AATATGAAGAATATAAAAAAATTCAGGATTCAGCTGTCAGCACAATTAGAAAAAAGATATGAGCACAATAACACACTCTATAGCAAAATATTGTCTAATTATCGTTATCGATAAAATCCCAGAAAATTATCGAGATGTCAATTATGTCAATATCGCACACCCCTAATTTGTTATTTAATTGATATAATAATTTATTGATAATAATTGTTTAAATTAATATAAAAATTAATACTTTTGACTCATCCATTTTCTTAACAATGGTTTAAAGGCTGAAATGTAAAGTTTATCATTTTATAAAACTTTTTGTTTTTGTGAAAACTTGTATCTGAACTGTAAATTATGCTTTTTACAGTAATTTTACAGTTTAATATGGTACTATAGACATTGCCCTACCCCGCTCATATGGTATTCATTTTATTTGTGCAGGTCTTAAAAAGGTCTTAAATTTAAGCTTAAAAATCCTGCAGAAACCCTGAATTATTATAAAATATATATTTTATTGCCTAGTCTAGGATTCGATCTTTTTGTCAACTTGATTTCTTTCAGTTAGCCCAGGTTTTGTAATAATTTTTTTACTCTGATTGATCATAAGTCTCAGTGATCTGAGCTTATGCACCTCAGTTTTTGAGTGAACATTTAAAAAATTATCCATAAATAATGCTTTTTTCACTCAGAAACAATGGCGCATAAGCTCAGATCAATGAGGCCTATGATCAAACAGTTCCAAAAAAAATTTTTTTTTCATGTCATTAATGCATTTTATTTTGCACATATTATAAAAAATAAATATAAATAATTGCTGCATTATGTGTTGGGTGCAAAATTAAATTGAGTTGAATAGGTCTGAAACAAACAAGCTTTCATAATTTAACAGTTATAAAATTATTTTTAAAATAATAGATTTTTCAGTAATAACGTGTTGTAAATTGTTTTAAATGTGGTTGAATTAAATTTAAATTGCAGTTTATTCAAGAATTGGCCATATTGATGATCTGAAGCACTGACAAGGACTGACAATCTGTTTCAATGTATATTTTTGCATATTTTTTTGTCAAAGGCATGTGTAAATAAAATGATTTTATTATCATCTTTAAATGATAATGAAACCTGTGATTTGTTTTTTGTTTAACAGTTTCATTAGTAATTTCATTGCTAATATTACAATTTAATTTAACTGCTATCTGTTCAAACTTCAAACCCTATAAACTGTATTTAATGTAAAACCTTATTCATGTACGTTTCACTGATGTTAGCACTGTTACTGCTAATCTAGAGCTGTGACTTATCGTTGCTACCTCTTACTTCTGGTGGTGCCATGTTAAAAATACAAAGCTACACCCAGTTGTTAGATTGCTGTGAATAGGCTGGTTGACATAACCTGCTGTTTACTAAATGTGATATTTCTGGAGTCTGAAACTGGAGATGTGCTATGTAAACTGAGCTGCTGTGACACATCAGGCTTGCTGATCCTCCAGCTTTTCTAGTTAGCTAGATGGTGTTTGGGTTTGTGGTGGGTGAATCATTCAGAGACTCAAGATCATTGCGTAAAATTCAGCGTAGCAGTGGCCAACCTCTTTCCAGCACTTTTAACCTCTTGCTGTTTTTTTTTTTTTAAGTCATGTCTCTGCTGCAATCTTATGAAAGCGTCTGGCTGAGTCAGTTTTGTTATTTCAACAACCAGAATTGTGCAAATGTGTCTTGGAAACAAATGTCAATTTTTTCCTTCTGTGTGTGTAGAACTATATTTATTGCATGGCCATTTGACAATGATTATTACTTGCATGGCTGTAGTCAACTTCAACTTTATGTATTTATATAGCAACTAAGTTGCCCAAAGTGCTTCACAATAAAATTAGTGTCTTTTTTATACAGTAAGTCTTTATACCCACTGTGAGTCTCTGAAGGATTTTCTAGCAGCCGAGTCATAACCAAGCAATAAATGAGTGCAGATATATGCGCTCTGTGGCTTAATGAGTTTCAGAGGAAATAATAAAGTTCATCAATTAAAGCATTGTCAGATCATTGATAGAACACTTATGACGCCTAATGCTTGTGTTTCAGATTTGAGCACATTTTCATTCTTTATTTCTAATGCCACTGCTGTACGCATTTTCATAATTTTTTTAACTCTTTTCAAATAAAAAATAAAAACAATGCACCAGTAAATCACTAAATAAAATGACATTAAATGTCTTGTTTTTAGCTATTAGTCGATCACAAAATTGACACAAAACCTCATATTGATACAGATGTGCATAAATTATTATTATTATTATTAACAATTGTTATTTATTATTATTACTATTAACATTACTATTAATTATTAATATTACAATTAATTTGTATTTCTTCACTGGTAAAATTCAGCTTTATAGAGAGAGAGAGGGAGAGAGATGAATTTTACCCCAGTGAAGAAATTAAATTACTAAAAAAAATTGAAATATTGTAAAAATGTAAAGTTTTAAAATATTTACATAATTTTTTCATAAAATATTTACATACAGTATTTCAGTGTTCTTATTTAGGCAATGCATTACATGAGTTAAGGTATTTTATTACAGTAATGTCAAGACTTATCTTGCAGCGATTATTTTAGTTTTTCTTTAATAATAAGTTCATTTTTTTGTGTGTGTAGACATTTTACCACAGTAAAGAAAATATTACCGGTATATATATTTTGTTTTACATAACAAAACTATATGGGGAAAGTGTGTGTGTATATATATATATATATATATATATATAATATATATAAACTTGTAAAAGTATGTACAGTATTTCAGTGAATGAATGTATTTTATGGCCATAATGTCAACACTCTTAGTCTCTTGCAGTGATTATTTTTGGTGGTGTTTTAATAATGAATAGGTTGATAGTGTTTGTGTGTGTGAAGGGTGTTGCTGAGCAGTGAACCTCGAGAGGCCAGAGAAGGGAGTCAGAGAGCGATGTGGGAATAGTTCACACAAACACAAGTCTCGAAACACTTACGTGAAGTTGCATCAGGTCTGGCATCAATTCCAGCAAAACAAACAGTGTTAATGAAATCCCACCTGCTTGTTATGAGAATGTCTATAGCCAGAGGGACTGCCATGTTTCAGGATGGAAATGTTGCCACCTTAGACCTGGTGCATTCATGTTCTGTTCTGTTCTTTACTTTTTTTTATTTTCTTTTTCTTTCTCCACTTTGTCTTTTCCTTTTTTCTGGTTTTGTTGTTCTCTTTATTTTCTTTTTTTGCATTCATTTTATTTCTTTTTTTTGGTCTTTTTTATTTTATGTCTTGTTATTTTTTAGTTTAGTTTATTTATTTTTTGTTCTGTTCTGTGCTTCTTGTCTTGACTCTTCATAACTGCCCCTCTCTTTACCTCTCATCTTTTTTAGTAGCGGTTGATCTTTTCCGTTTCTTCATTTCCCTCCTCAGGTTGTCCATGAGTCCAGAGCAGCACAGTGAGTTCTGGAGGAAGGTCCAGTTCACTGTTGATAAAGATGTTGTCAGAACTGACCGAAGCAACATGTTCTTTAGAGGAGAGAACAACCCCAATGTAGAAATCATGAGGTTAGAGAAACATATTCATTGTCACTCAACCATAGAAATATTTGCTTGCATTTGAAAACACCAATTTGATAGAATTTTACAAAGTTGAAGCTGCCACATCATACTTCAAATGTTCTAATATTATATTATATTACATATTATTTTATACTTTTAATAATAAAAATCATTTGTTTTATTATATTAATGTTGAATTATTATTATTATTATTTGAAAAATAATTAATTGAAGCTGCTAAGTCATACTTAAAATGTCATTATTATATAATATTACATTGTATCATGTATTGTAAATATGTATTTTATTATTAATAGTAATTGATGATAATAATAATAATAATAATTTGTCCTTTTACAAATCTTAAATTAATGAATTATTCTTAATAATTAATTATCTTATGAAAAAAATTGAAGCTGCCAAGTCACACTTAAAATGTCAATTATATTATAATATATAATAATAATTATGTTATGTTATATTACTTTTATTTACAAGTAATGATACTTTATTATTATTATTATTATCTAATTGAATTGACATTCATACATTATTAAGTATATCTTAAGTGTTCAAATACCATTTGAGGCCACTGTGGCTATAGATGAGAATTTTCTCCTTTGGTTATGGCTATTTCAGTGTACTATGCAATAAATCTGTGCCATTCCATTAATAATACATAATATTAATCAATTCAGCAAAAGGCAGTGTTTGTTTTACATGATTAATTATTTAAATAAGGTTTACAGAAGTTACATTTTTCCATTTCTCTCCCAGACGTATCCTACTGAACTACGCCGTGTTTAACCCAGACATGGGCTACTGTCAGGGCATGTCAGACCTGGTGGCTCCTCTTCTGAACGAGATCCAGGATGAGAGCGACACGTTCTGGTGCTTCGTGGGTCTCATGGAGAACACCATCTTCATCAGCTCTCCTAGAGATGAGGATATGGAGAGGCAGCTGGTGAGGATATCTCACCTACAAGTGTCTAGTCAATGGATAATTCACACGCTCTGTCTTTTAATGTCGTAAATTAAGAGTGAATGTTGAGTTATTTGCTATAGTTATATGTACATGTGTGTCCAGATGTACCTGAGGGAGCTCTTGCGGCTGATGCTGCCTCGCTTCCACCAGCATCTAACCCGGCTGGGTGAGGACGGCCTTCAGTTGCTGTTTTGCCACCGTTGGGTTCTTCTGTGTTTCAAGCGCGAGTTCCCTGATGCTGAAGCCCTGCGCATGTGGGAGGCCTGCTGGGCACATTATCAGGTACAACACAAACAGCTGTTGTTGGGCTTTATTATGTCTAAACATAATCTGGAAATGCACTTGATATCAGGTTAAATCTGGAGATTCTGCATGAGGTATTTATTAACCATGTATGACTCCGGTATTAGTTAAGATGCCCATATACTAATGTTGTTGCCATAAAAGGCCTTGTACCTGATATTTGAAACAGATATTTCTTGACATGTTTTGTACAATTGAAATTGATCCTGATATCTGGATATCTAATAACTGACAGGACTTGGCGGTAATGATTTGTTTTTGTAGGTTAGGCTATTTTTACATGCCTCGTAAATGTTCTCACTGGCCCACCACAAAAAAAATACTTTTAGCAGTTTTATTTTTAGCAGTGTGTTTTTTATTTATTACATGAGGTATGACATATTTTCTATATATTAAATATATTTAATAATATATTGAATAAAATATATTAAAATAAATGTTTTTTAAAAATAGTTTTCTTTACAAAAAAGTTATTGGGTTTTTTATTTGCAGTAGTAGCTATAGTATAAATAATAATGCAAATCAATGACAGCTTTATTCATAAACACTTTTGCTGCAAAATAATGGCATGTGATTTCAACTTATTCTTCTTAAAGGGGTCATAGGATGCTACATGCACTTTTACAAGTAGTTTGAACTGAAATGTGTGTTGGCAGTGTGTGTACACAACCACCCTATAATGATAAAAATCCACCCAGTGTTTTTTTTTTAATCTGGTTAAATGTTTTCCCCTTTCTCAAATCGAGCCGATCTCAGATGCCTGTATGTGCGACGTCACACAGACAGGCCCCTCCCATGATAGTTTGATTGACAGTAGCGTTTCAGCACAGACTGGACTGGTGTCTTACCTTAGCTCTGCCCTGAGTGAGCTGTCATCAGTCCACCATTGTTTCACCGCAGGAGCAGATGTAGACAAGAATGACTCCTCAGCGATTGAGGTGTTCTGTTGTTGGATGTAATAATGAACATAGCAGTCGTCATTTACTCTCGACATCTGAGCCGCTGAACTCACAGTGGATTACAGTGTTTCTGAAGGGAATGCGCCCCTGATCTATGTTCGTGCGAATCATTCATGATCCAGCCTCATCTACAGAAGTATAATGTTTTGTAATGAATCTTTGCAAATCGCCTTTCCTAACAATGTGCTAATTAGCAAATTTCGCGATGAATGTGGCTAAAGTAAACAGTCTCTCGGAAGAGAGGGGCGGAGTCAGCAGAGCTCATTAACATTTAAAGGAAAATGCTACAAAAACGGCTTGATCTGAAAAGAGCTGTTTTTGACAGGGTAAAAAAATTAGATTTTTACACTACCATTGAGAAATTTTAACCAAACTATGTTACAGACTTTTCATTAAGACCCCAATGAATCATATCAACTTGTAGAAAATGGGCATCCTATGACCCCTTTAACGTTACCTTGAGGATAATTATTTTTAAGTTTCCCTTCAGTGGAACACAAAAAGTGCATTTTTGACAAATATTCAGGTTACCAGTTTTAGTGTTTCTTATACAGTGGAGATCAAAATTATCGAACAAACTATAAATACTAATTTTTTTTCTGAAATATTGTTAATCTTCACCACTCAAAATTTGAAGGAATATTAGCTGTGGCTATACCACTGTTACACAAACTATTCTGCCCTCACTTTGGTGTCTCTCTTCCCGAAGTTAGACAGATAGATAAACTCTTTCCAACACGTAGACTTGTGACCGCTTTATTCTAAACCACGTTGACTGTGTATATTGAAAGCAACTACAGAAAGCATGAATATAAAAGAATTATAGTGTAGCTATAGTTATCTCTAAGAATACAATAATGTCTCAATTTACTGTTATTTATCGGATATAGTTCTTTCATAGCTTTATAAACAACAAATTCAGCAAATTAAATACGAATTAATCATAAAAACTTACAGACAATACTTTCTACAGATGATCACAAGATGAACGGTGCTACAAGACTGTAGTGTGAAGTTCTACTTAAATAAGGCAACTACCTGAATTTAACTGACTTAGAATGTTATTATGGTAACTATATTTTAAAGGAAGCTACATGACTAGGTATCAGAATTATAATCACTGCAAACATTAAACTTAAATGGATGATCCAGAACACTAACATATTTGACAAAATAACCAAGGCATTTCAACAAAAACCTTTATTCTGTGGAAAGGGGATGCTTGCAGGGAAGGAACTGCATGTTGCTGAAGGAGGTTCTGATTAACGGATTAAATATCTCATTCAAGTTTTTTATACTGTGCTTCAGAAAACAATGGATACATGTATATATATATATGTTCACTCACTGATTCATTAAAATGTACTCTTACATTAAAATTTGCATACAAAAGTACAGATATTCTTGAAATATATTCTTCATATGTTAAATGTTGTGTAGTTTTTTTTTGTTGGTTTTTCCTTTTACAAGAAACGGAGACTAACTGTATATGACTGCCGAAATGTATTTCTCTTTTTGACTTCCTTATTCTTTTTGACTTATTTATGGTTCTTACTATAAAAATGCAAGGAGATTTTGGGTCCAAGTTCAAACTAGAACTGCATGTTGCTGAAGGAGGTTCTGATTAACGGATTAAATATCTCATTCAAGTTTTTTATACTGTGCTTCAGAAAACAATTAATTTATGAAACATGCTTTAAGAAACTGCCCTTGTATGTTGTTCTCTAATTTTGATCTCCACTGTATGTGTGTATATATATATATGTTCACTCACTGATTCATTAAAATGTACTCTTACATTAAAATTTGCATACAAAAGTACAGATATTCTTGAAATATATTCTTCATATGTTAAATGTTGTGTAGTTTTTTTTGTTGGTTTTTCCTTTTACAAGAAACGGAGACTAACTGTATATGACTGCCGAAATGTATTTCTCTTTTTGACTTCCTTATTCTTTTTGACTTATTTATGGTTCTTACTATAAAAATGCAAGGAGATTTTGGGTCCAAGTTCAAACTGATGTATGATGTAGAAATCTTTGAAGCCATGGAAACCAAGACCAAGTTGTTCCTTAAATTCCCTTTCGCTGGATAAATGCAAATTCTTCCCCTTTAGATAAACGAATGGGTGCCTGTATCACTTTAAGGATCTGCAGAGTGTCTAATGAAGATGAGATGCTAATTATCAGGTTTCCACAGAATCCATTTGCATACATTGGCATGGTAATAACGAGGTGATTTTGGGGAGCAAAGTGGTTTGTCTCCTCGTTGCCCCCTCATTTGCATATCAGCATTTACTGCTTTTTAATTGGCTCTGTATGCACCTGGCCTTTGCGATTGGTCTAGCTTATACAGTCTGTCATTTCTTTTGGCTCAATGTTTGGTGCAGGAATGGAGTGATATGTTTTCTGTGTGTGGATGTGTATGTTCTGTGACAGACGGACTACTTCCACCTGTTCCTGTGTGTCGCTATCATCGTGCTGTACGGCGAGGATGTCACAGAGCAGCAGCTCGCTACAGATCAAATGCTGCTGCACTTTAGTAACCTCTCCATGCACATGAATGGAGAGCTGGTGCTGAGGAAGGTATGAGCGCACACACACACACACACACACATGCTGACAGAGCTCCTCCTCATGGTTATGTATGCTGTGTCTTTGTGTCATGCAGAAGTGATGCATCTCTCTAACGCTGCATACAAAACATTTTTTTCTAACAGCAACAAAAGTTAGTATGCCAAACATGCTGTCATCTCTGGAGAAATATTTCTCAAAATCAAAATTGTACCGTAGAGATTATGATATAAGCAATCGCACCCTGTTGTGGTCATCCGGACATTATAGTCCTAATGCCAACAAACATTGGGTTGAGCAACTGATAATATGTTAAATAAACAAATTGTTTGGCCAAATATCTTCTTTAGTGGAACACAAAAAAATTAATTTTTGAAAAATATTCTGGCTACTGTTTTCAGGATTTCAGTGTTTAATATTTATGTATTTGTTTAATCATTCGTTTTATTCATGCGTTTATCGATTGATCTTCCATATTTGTATTTTATATTTCATATTTGTATCATTGTAATCATCTCTGTGAGGTTTCTTTCCTGAATAAAAAAAATGGCTAATAATAATATAAAGTTAATGCAAACTGTCAGTGTGAAACTACAAAAAGGTTCAAAAACTTAAAAAAAAATATATATCCTTTTGTGTTCCACAGAGGAAAGAAAGAAATATGGCAATAATATTAGTAATGTGGAAAGTAATATGGTAATTGTAAATTACGATCAATTACATTTTAGCAAGATACTCAATTATTACTGAATAAGTTACCTTAGTTATCTCTTGATATGTAGATTGAATATTTATTTATTGCTGTATTTTGCACTGTTTTATAATTTATAAAAAAAAATTCACTGTTTATAATTTATTTTGATTTATTGTATTTACATTATTTATTTATTTTAAATTTATTGCACTTTTTATTTATTTTATTTATTTTGCACTATTTATCTATTTAGCAATTTTTATTTAATTTGCCCTTTTTATTATTTAGTTATTTTACACCATTTATTTATTTACATTTACATTCATGCATTTTGCAGACACTTTTATACAAAGCAACTTTGTATAAAAATTTACATATTTACATATTTACAATGTACATATTTTGTGAGTTCATGCATTTCCTGGGAATCAAACCCATGACCCATTGCTATTCTCTACTGGTATAGCTACAGAACATTTTTTGTAAAATATTGAAAAAGCTAAATAGGAATTACAATATAATATCATATTTTTTCAGCATTTTGCCTGTTGTTATTTTTTTTAATTCTCAGTACATCTTTCTTTCTCTGTCTTGTCTCCCTTATTGTCTCTAATCCTAGGCACGTAGCCTGCTCTACCAGTTCCGCCTTCTTCCCAGAATTCCCTGCAGCTTACACGACCTGTGTAAACTGTGCGGGCCAGGAATGTGGGATAGCCGATACATCCCGGCCATAGAATGTTCCGGAGAGCATCCCGACTCTCAGAGCTGCCCCTATGGAGGCACCGCCACTCCCGAGAGCCCACCTTTACCCAGCCCCAACCAGCCCAACGAGGGCAAGAGGGGCTCCAAGACACGAGACATTTTCACTTTCCGCAAGCACTCCTGACTCGAGCACGCCTCAGGAACGCCAGTACCCATAAGGCTTAGCCTCTGAGCCGGTCTCCATTGTGTTTTACTCAGCATCTGGTATGAATCACTGCCTTGTGCATAAATGGTACCAATGTTGACAACCTCTTTTGGAGGTTGAGGAACTTCATCAACTTGTGTTTCATCAATAATTCACAAGTACAATTATCACAAACAATCAAGACTAAGTCTTCATCTATCATTAAGTCACATCTTGCGGGCTGACATCTCAGAATTTTTTTTTGGCTTTTTTTTATATCGACAATGTATGCATGTATTAATGTATGTGTGTGGTTTGTTACCACAGTCGAAGTACATTTGTGTTTATTCTGTTTATTCGCATATATTTGTTCCTTTTTTGTGCAATTCTCAACTATGAATCAAACCGTCAGCCAATATGAAGTGGGATACTGTTGTCAGTGGCTCTCTGACATCAAAACATTGTTTTATGATCATCTATGCCTTTCATATCCTCACAATAAATATTATGATATATAGATGAGAAGATCATCTTCTTATCACGAGTCCTTGAAGATCTTGAAGTCAATGTGAAATCAAAATTGGGAAAAAAAAAAGTCAGATGTATTTGTAATCAATTTGAAAGTTGAAATTTCTGATCTAAGACCTTTATTGAATGCATGCCATTATAATGACAGCAAGTGTCCCAATTCAGAGGCTGCATCCTTCGAAGGCTGCATTCATTGAAGACCCAATGCATCACAGTGGGCCACACGTCCTGCCGATTTAGTTTTACCGGGTTTATTATTTTAAAATAAGGTAAATACATTAGAATGTCAATAAATGTACCAACTGAGCATTAATTTTGGCCTACCTGTTAAATCCTTTAAAAATGCTATTTGCACTTTTGTGTTTTTTGTTGTGAAATATTGCGTTCGTGTTGATGTGGTAACCCCTCAGCTGTAGCAGAAGGTCTTACTCTTCTTCTCCAGAACAGAATGAGCTTAAAAAACAAAAACCCAAGAGGGAGTTTGATTTGAATTAGTTTATCTGACGATGGCGGTTGAATGGTTGAAAGAGAGCGCGCTCTCCGAGATTAGACACCGTGCTTGAGTGCGCGTTAGTGTGAAGGTGCCTGGCGTCTCCGCGGATCCCCAGAGCCTCTTTAAAAAGCAGATATCGGCAAATTGCTGTCAAAAGGTAACATTAGACTCTCAAGATGCAGTCTCCGTCAGTGACGGCCGTTATGGCTTTGGGCTTTCGCTTAGCCATTATGCGAACGGGCTGCTCCTCTCAGGAGTCCCAGAGAGCATTGAGGCACGGCCGAGGGATCTAAAGAGAGTTACGGGATGATGACATGCTTGTGAAATCATTTGAGGACGTGCATGAGGGTGCTGAGCCACTTTCCATTTACGTTATCTGCCTGCTGCTTTAGGGTGATGTTTTTATGCATCAAAGCTGTTGCTGATTACGCGGTCGTTTTATATTTACGGTTGATATAGTATAATGTCGGGGGCAATATCTGCTCACTCATCTACTGTTTTATCGACACCAACTGACGCATATATAGGATGTTTGCTTGTTTGACTCAATTAAGCTGAGTCTTATTATTACCGCAACACAGAGAACGCGTTTTTGCATTTAAAGGGGTCATATGATGCTGCTAAAAAGAACATTATTTTGTGTATTTGGTGTAATGAAATGTGTTTATGCGGTTTAAGGTTAAAAAAACATTATTTTCCACGTACTGTACAGTATTGTTTCTCCTCTATGCCCCGCCTTTCTGAAAGGCGTCGATTTTTTACAAAGCTCATCGGTCTGAAAAGCGAGGTTTGCTGTGATTGGCCAGCTATCTAGTGCGTTGTGATTGGCCGAATTCCTTAAGCGTGGGATGGAAATGTTTTGTCCCATACCATATTGTGATGGTCCGACCCCGGGCTGGACTCCGCTTCGTCCACGGTGAAAGCCGATCCGGCGATCGACAGCACGAAGTTGTAGTATTTCCTCAGCGACCAGCACGGATCAGCTCCAGGCATGACGAAGCGATATCGTCCTCTTTTGGAAGGCCAAACAAAGTAGTTTCGCTTTCACAACGAAGCACACCGCGCCTTCACGACATGGCGGAGGCGGCAACAATACTACAGCGAAAATAAAAGTTACGCCTTCTTTCTTTGCGTGAACGGCAGCGTTATGCAAATCTTCCCAGATAGTGAGGTAGATATGTGGGGGCGTGTTAGAACGAGCGGTTTTAGGTAGGTGTGGCTGACTCTTAACTTTTATAAAGAATATCTCTTTGGATTTGAGACTTCAGTCTTTGCAACTTTACAGATCTTCTTTATGCACCAAGAGCTTGTAACGCTCCAAAGAGAAAGGACAAATTGAAATCGCATCATATTACCCTTTAAAAACGCAAACACAAAGTGGTGGAATGGGAAAAAAAAGCGAGGTCTCGAGACACGCCATTAGTGTATTCTATATAATTACACATTTAAATGCTTGTCAAGATTTATCTGTCGTACACAGCTCTCAGGCGCTTCGGTGTGAGATTCAAGCTCAACGGTTGAACACTTGTCTAACGCATTTTTCTTTCTTCTTTTTTTTTTTATAAGACATATTAAATTTAACGGGAATAAACACCGGGCTGTGATGTGTTACCCCTACAAAATTGCATCTTATGGTGGTGTTTACACGACACCATTTTCAACTATAAAAATACCTTTTATAATTCTCTTTTTGTCATTAACAGGACAGCTGCGTTTTGGGGATCTGAAAACCGGGGTTTTGAAAACAAGTTTCAAAGTGCACGTTTTTGAAAACGGTATACCGATATCTTCTCCCGTGTAAACTACAAAAACGTGAATTTGTGAAAACAGTGATATCATGCACATGCGTATTACGTGTTTGCCTAGTGTTTCTATACGTGACATCGCCAACTACTGGTCTGACTCGCATAATACAGCGTTTTAAGTGGTTTTCGCAGATCCGTGTGAATGGGGATAGTTTTGATAACGTTGTTGTCTGTATGCGGAAAACGCAAGGAAAATAAAATAGTTGCTGTTGTTTAAACGTACACTTAGTAAGATATGTCAACATTTAAATCAATTTAAAAAGTTTTTGTAATATTAAATATTTGATTAAGTTGAAACCCAATACTTAAGGTCTCTGCACACTGAGTCCGAAATTTTCGTATGCGTTTTTCGTATTCGAAATCCTACAAATTCGTCACGCACAGAAACCTTGCACACTGAGTCCGATGCGTATTAATTGATCCGTTGCGAAAAAATTCGCAAAACGGCACTAAATGGAGTCTTCAAGCAGTGAGGATGATTTTGTTGTCCTCTCACTTCTTAAAAAAAGAAAAGAAATATTGGGTCCATCCTGAGATACAGAGAGGAAGGAGAGTTCCCCCTCCTTATTAAGGAGCAGCGGGATTACACGGGCGATTCAAAGTTTACTTCAGGATGTCAGTGGCTCAGTTTGATGCTTTTGCTAGCGATACTAGAGCCACATATTAAAAAGAAGACCACCAATTTCTTTGAACCCTGAGTGCAAGGATCTATATACAGTGCTTTGTGCTGCGAGACGAAGTGGATGAATTTGACAATCGCCATTCTGGATTTTAGCGTTCGCTTGTACGGTGGCTCTGAACTGTCAAAACACCTCTCAAAATGCTTGCTACGGATGCAAAAAATGGAAAAAATCTAACCCGATCCGAATTATTTTTTATGGCGGACGAATATTTCGGAGGCAGTGTGTAAACGTGATTGACATAATGTGAGGTCGTATTTATTTTTTAACGTGTGAAAATTTTGGGTGAAATTTTCCGACTCGGTGTGCAATGACCTTTACACTTAAAAGGGTAATCCAGCATTTTTTCTCATATCATCACCGCACACAGTGAATCTTGGGATAGCTGTGAATGATCCGTGTCCTTCATGGCCCGTGAAACGAAGAACACATTTGAAGGAGCCTGCGAACTGGGACAGCCTTCGTTGCACCACTGTGATGCATTGGGTCTTCAATGAATGCAGCCTTCGAAGGATGCAGCCTCTGAATTGGGACACTTGCTGTCATTATAATGGCATGCATTCAATAAAGGTCTTAGATCAGAAATTTCAACTTTCAAAACCATTTTATAAAGTTTTTGTCCACTGAATTTTTTTGAACAATTGGGATGTTGTTAACAACAGTACAATCCATTAAACACACTGTACTTATATCGCTCACAGCCTTGTTTTTTCCCATCAAGAAATAAATATGGCGCTACCCTCCCTGACTAAGGTCTTTGTAAACCAGCGCATTCTGTGTGAACGGCCAACACAATCTCATGGCAATTCATAGCTATTTTACATTCAGTCAATTTGGTACAATCCGTACCAAATCCGTTTGGTCAGCAATTCGTACAATCTCATTTGTTCATTTTCGTACAATCTGCTTACACCCCCGTGACAGTTATGTATTGGTATGGCCTTTTTTTTGTTCTGAAAATCATACATTTTCGTACGAATTTATACAAAATAGGCACCTTATAAAATTGTTAAGAGAACTGGTTGAACAGCCTCTATTCTCATTACTAGGACAAATAATAATTCTAATCAAATTAAGGAAAATTACATGTTGTTTAAAAATATGGTATTTATACATCTTAGTGTTTATTGTATGCATTTTATGCTGAATATAATTACAATTACAGTAATTTTAATGCAAGCTTTACTGTGATACTGTATTACAGTAATGAGAATCATCAATGGGAATGAGAACTTGCCTACAAAAACAATTGAAAGTAAAACCTCCAGATGCATTACAGTAATTTGTGAGGAGAAATGTGCACATTTTTTTCATAAAAATAACATGTTGATAATGATTTCTTAATTTTGCCTTTAAGTTTTCTTTCTTTCTTTTTTTTGTGAGATTCACCCATCAAAAGGACATCATAGATAAGACAGTATTTTATAATCTTGTTTGTTGTGGAAAATTATTTTCCTTTAAGCAATTTATTCATGTTTGTTTGCTTGTTATTGTTGTTGTTTCTCTTAACAGAAAGAAGATTAGATCATAGTCTGTATGATCATGAAAGCCTAGATCAGAAGCACTATTGCGGGTTGGTTTGCTGTTTTCTGTTGCAGGCAGTTTTGCAAAACCAGCAAATTAGCTTGCATCATCTGTTT